TGCGGCTCTAGCCACTGGCCTGGACGGCCGCTTCGGAGTGACCCAGACCACCGTAACAACAAATATGCTCGAAGATGCAAAGTCAGATGCGGCCGGCGAGGAGGTGGACTATGACGACCTCTCTGGCAGCGAGCCCGACGATGATCCTGTGGATAACTCGCCGCACGAGGTCGTACGCGCATCTGTGCCCCCAACAGACAACATCACCTTGTCCATAAGCACCCCGAGGATGTGGACACTGTCTGTATTGTTTTCAGTACTCGGTTCTTCCACCAACTTGTTTTTCTCGTTACGATACCCTAGCGTTGCTATTACGCCCGTCATCGCCCTGCTGCTCGTCCACCCGCTAGCTCTCATGTGGGACTACTTTCTCAAGTTTCCAAGCGACCCCCCGGAAGAGTTTGTCGACGGTGTTCTTCAGCCTGACGCGGACGGCGGATCACCCCCGAAGAATCGACTGACGCGGCTGCGCAGGTGGCTGGCGCAAGGCCGGTGGAACGAGAAGGAGCACACCTGTGTCTATGTGAGCAGCAATGTGTCCTTCGGTTTTGCCTTTGCGACCGATGTCATTGTCGAGCAGTCCATGTTTTATAAGCAAGAAGCGACCATCCCCTACCAGCTGCTCCTCATTCTTTCAACCCAGATTCTCGGGTATGCCTTTGCCGGCCTGACGCGCCGTTTTTTGGTGCGACCCAGCGGCATGATCTGGCCGGGTACTCTCATGTCGGCTGCCATGTTCGGAACTCTTCACAAGGAGGAGAACAAGATTGCAGACGGATGGAAAATTTCGAGGTGGAAGTTCTTCTTCATTGTGTGGTTTGGCGCCTTTGCCTTCTACTTCCTGCCCGGCCTGCTGATGCCATGCCTGAGCTACTTCAATGTCATCACCTGGATTGCGCCCAAGAACGTCGTGGTCGCCAACCTCTTTGGCGTTGTTTCCGGCCTGGGTCTCTTCCCGTTGACCTTTGACTGGGCTCAAATCACGTATATCGGCTCGCCGCTTCTAGTCCCCTTTTGGGCCGCCATGAACGTTATTGGCGGACTGGTTATTGTCATGTGGCTCATCGCCCCCATCGCTTACTACGTCAATCTGTTCTACTCGTCCTACATGCCCATCTTGTCATCTTCCGTATTCGACAACACGGGCAACGTCTACGATGTTAGCAAAATCTTGACGTCCGAATTTCTCTTCGACAGAGAGGCCTATAGCAAGTACAGCCGAGTATTCTTGCCCATTACGTATGTGCTCAGTTATGGTGTACAGTTTGCCGCTCTGGCGGCGCTGCTGACACACACCTTCTGCTGGCATGGCAAGGACATATTGAACACTTGGAAAACGGCTCTTCAGGAGGCCCGAGATGAGGGACAGGTCTACCAGCCCGTGTCCAGCGGCCCGCCCGAGAGCATAAGACCACAGAGATCATTCAACAGCAGCGGAGGTCTCTCGAGATCATCCTCCAGCCCGGATGGCTTCCTTTTCAAAGAGGATGTGCACTGTCGGTTGATGAACCGGTACAAGGACGCGCCCTTGTGGTGGTACATGGTGACCTTTGTATCCATGCTGGCGGTTGGCATGTTTGTGGTCGAATTGTGAGTGTCCTTTGGCGATGTGTAGAGCACCATCTAACCTTCATAGCTACCCCATCCATCTGCCATGGTATGGTTTACTCCTTGCGCTGGGCATTTGCGCCGTCTTCTTCATCCCGAACGGCATCATCATGGCTGTCACCAACCAGCACAGTAGCATCTACCTCATCTGCCAGCTCGTCTGCGGTGTCGTGTTTCCTGGACGTCCGATCGCAAACATGGTGTTTGTAACTTACGGGTACATTTCGTCTGCACAGGGCATCAAGTTTGCCTCTGATCTGAAGCTGGGCCATTACATGAAGATTCCCCCACGGACCATGTTCACGGTTCAGATGGTTGCGACCATCGTGTCGTCCCTGACACAGATCGGCGTGCTCAACTGGATGTTTGCCAAGGTGAAGGGCATCTGCACATCGGAAGCGGTCAATGGCTTCACGTGCCCCATCGCGAGGGTGCACTTCAACGGCTCCATCCTTTGGGGCGTGGTCGGTCCGGGCGAGTTCTTCGGGCCGAATGCAACCTACCGCGGGCTGGTCTGGTGCTTCCTCATCGGCGCCATCATGCCGATCCCTCTGTGGCTGTATAGTCGCAAGAAGAAGCATAGCATTGTGCGCAAGATCAACCTGCCCGTCGTCTTCGGCTCCATGGCATGGATTCCACCGGCGACTGGCCTCAACTTTTCTGTCTGGGCGGTGGTCTGCTATGTCTTCAACTACTTGATCAAGAGGAGGAAGAGCGCGTGGTGGGCCAAGTACACGATGACCATGAGCGCAGCGTTAGACTCGGGCCTGGCGTTCGGCATTGTCGTCATCTTTTTTGGCTTCATCTACCCGGGGCACATGAAGGGCTTCAAGTACTGGGGCACCGAGATATACAAGAAAGGCTGCGACTGGCAGGCCTGCTCGTACAACACAGTGCCAGAAGGGTCTCACTTTGGCCCCGACCAGTGGTGATTATTGTTTTTTTTTTTTTTGACGAGATATAATGACACGACACGACTTTACGGGTGTGCAAACTTTGGATATTGCACGATTGGCATCGCAAGCAAGCATGGTTAGAAAGGCATGATTAGTTCAAAACTTGGGAAGAGGCGGAGTTCTTGGTCGCCTGCCGGGGATCCAATCGGATTACCCTACGGGCTTTGCTTTCGCGCATATAGATAGAGCAAAAGTCGTAGATGGCCTTGCATTGGGTAATTGATATTGGGTCTGATTGACTGACTCAACCAATGTAGCGAACTTTTTGATTTGCATGCAAAATTGTGAGTCTTCCTTCTTGTCTGAGTCAGAGCCAACTCGATGACTCTTAGGTTGCAGCTGAGACGCGGGAATTCGGCTGCAGCTTCATGCTCCCCGCAACGGAAAAGACTCATTCTCTGATTGACTGAAGAACGACTGTTGGCTGTCGCAGTTACCGACCTTCTCGAAATGGACAAGAGGAACGGGTCGGCATCAGAATCCTTCCATGTAAGATGCCCCAGGCCCTGTTGGTTTCTGGCAGGCAACACGATTAGACCTAAGTGAGTCAATTGGGAGGTTCCTGGACGGACAGGGCAGGCCCCTGCTGATGTCAGCTTGCTTTCCGACGGCCTTCACCTCCGTTGGGTCGGACTGACGTTTTACTGGTTTGGCCAGTGAGAACGAGTGGGAGTGAGGAGTGAGATTTGCTGAATCTGGCATTGGAGATCTTGCGCCCGCTGCTCGCGCGGATGAGGTGCGATTGCGAGGTTTCATGGGTGTGGGTGGGTGCGAAGGATTCCATGTCCAAGGGACCAGCCAAATCTCCCGATAGATGTGATCTTGGAAACATTACAAAAGGTGATTGTCGGACAGCTTGATGGAAGTGAAGAAATCGAGAAAATCATTCAGCGTTTCAGTCACAGTTCACCCTTCCATCTCATCTCACAACGCCAATCAGCGCAAACCATCTCAACCCGCAACTCCGCAAACTCAATTGAACCGTTATCGCAAGCGACAGCAACTGCAGTTCATCTCAACACATCAACAATCTCATCAATCTCACATCCCAGAACCAAATACCGCCAAAATGCCAACCCAAGCATCCCACCTCCCCACGCTCCTCCGCTCCACAACCCACCCCCTCCTCCTCCGCACTCTCATCCCCTCCGACGCCGCCGCCATCTCCGCCGTCCTCTCCAACCCCGAAAACACAAAATTCGACCCCCACGCCTCCGCCATCTCCCCCGAAGTCGCAGCCAAGGTCATCGACCGCATGCGCGAGAGCGCCGCCGTGCCCTCCGTCCTCGACCCGGCCTCCGGCACCGTCGCCAGCGGCCCGGGCCGCGTCAACCTCGCCATCGTCCACATTCCCAACGCGGGCGATGACGAGGGCGTGGTGATCGGCCTCGGCGGGTTCGGCGGCATCAACGAGTCCACCTCCGAAGACGGAAGCAAGCAGAGGGTCGCCGACGTGGGCGCCATGCTCAACCCGGAGTACCGCGGCAAGGGCTTCGCGACCGAGGCGATCCGGCTGGCGGTTGAGTTTGCGTTCAGAGGGGTCGCGGAGGGCGGGCTGCAGGTGGACGCGGTGAGCGCCACAATGAGCGAGAGGAACCTGCCCATGGTCGGGCTCGTCGAGAAGAAGCTGGGCTGGGTCGGGGTGAGGAAGCCCGGCGATAAGGAGGGCGACGACGGTGAGATTTACTTTGAGGTTACGAAGGATACTTGGAGGAAGTGAGTCTGACGGTTTCGTGTTGGTGTTTTGTGATTTTGGAATTGGGATGAGGGTTGGCGTTGGCTGGCCAAAGGTGCCCGTCGTCTTGATTTGCGCTACGAGTTAAATGACTAGTGAATACAGACCACTGCTTGATACTGTTTGCTTCCATGACCTCTCGACTGGTGGATCGGCTGTAAGACACCGTCCATGTTTAAATACCTCTCGTAAAACTCACCCAAAGACTTCAACGACCATGACAGCAGATCACTGAATCAAACCTGCCAGCCTTTGAAGACGGCTGCATAGCCAACAGTGAGGAAACGACTTGAACCTGGCACACAGAAGAACATTCACGAGTACAGAACAGTCTTTTTGGGACTAGCAATTGCAGTCTTTTATTGGTGATCTAGTGCCCGAAGGCTGTTAGCCCTAGCCGTATACATTGAGTAGCAGCCTCCAGGCAATCACGACTAAGTATAATTCACGTCGAGTGAGGTGTAGCAGACACGCTCTAGTAGACAGTACGACCTTGGTGGTGCGCCCAGTTTCAGAGCAGCCGCAAGTGAAGCAAACGTTGACGAATCGACCAGCAGAACCCACGCCCTTGATCAGGTGTTGAACCGCCCCATTTTACCCATCACAGCCGCCACCGACCGGCGATGACGAAAAAGAAAACTCTCCGCCTGAGCCCGCGAGTGTTGAACGTGCCAGCCAGGCTAGTGCACAAGTTCAACATCTCACATCTAGGCTTCAGCCCGGACCTTCCTTGTCATCATCGTCATGGCGGCTGCGATGACGGGCAACACACTGACAATCTCACCCAGTCCAGCGTAGGCAGGGGGGATGATGACCTTGTAGCGCTCGAGCACACCGGCTGCCAAAAGGATGGCAAGAACATTGTACACGGCTGACCACACAAAGTTGAACATCATGCGTCTGAAGCTGGAGCGGCTGACATCGAGTAAGAAGGGAATACCCTCCAGACCTGCGAGCAGAACCACATCCGCGGCCCCACGAGTAACATCGCTTGCTGAGGCGGCGCTGCCAAGCTGCACACCAACATCGGCCTGCGTGACTGCCACGGCGTCGTTGGTTCCGTCACCGACAAACATGACCAGCCTGCCTTCGGACATGAGCGAAGCAACATAGTCTCGCTTTTGGGCGGGGGTTCGCTGAGCGGCGACATTGACAATTCCAACTTGCGATGCAACCGACTCAACGGCGCGTGTTTGGTCACCAGAAACGAGGTGAACGTTGATGCCGCGTCGACTGAGCTGGTTGACAACGCTGACTGCTTCGTTTCGGAGACGGGTGCGCAAACCGAAAACTGCAATGAGGTTAGAGTCTCGAGTGACCACCAGAAGGGTCATCCCGTCATCCTGTAGACGCTTGATCGAGGGCAAAGAGTCAACTTTAGCCCACGTTGGATTTCCCGCGCAAACTTTGCTTTCATTGAAGCTGGCTTCAACACCAGCGCCAGGAATAACCTGAGGGTCGGTGAGCTGAATTTCAGGGGTAGCCCGCTGTGCGAGATGCTTGGCAATGGCGACGGATACGGGGTGTTTGTTGCCTGCGACGAGAGCCTTGGTGATGGCACGGGCTTCGTCGTGATCAGAGACGAAGAAATCTTCTTCCTGGACGTCCAAGTCACCCTCGGTGATGGTTCCGGTCTTGTCAAAGACGACGTCAGTCACTTTGCGCGCCCGTTCTGTGCATTCGGCCGATTTAATGACGACGCCACCCTTCGCGGCGATACCTCCTGCAATAACTAGCACCATGGGGACAGCGAGACCAAGCGCGCAAGGGCATGACACGGCCAGAACAGCGACGGCGTATGTAACAGCGTCAGCTACCGCTTTGCCTGCTGACTTTTTCGAAACCTTCAAGCCAATGACCACCCAGACAATGGTCACGACGACGGCAATGCTGGCCACAACAGGTACAAACCAACTGGCAATACGGTCGGCAATATCCTGAATCTTTGGCTTCGAGTTTGCCGCTTCTTCGACGAGTTCGGCAATGTCGGTGACGGTGTTTTTCCCCGGGAGACGGGTGAGTTGTGCCGTTAGTGTGCCTGATCCGTTGATGGTACCGGCGATGACAGTGTCGTGCTGCTTTTTGAAGACAGGCACACTCTCTCCAGTCAGCATGGATTCATCAACCTCGCTGGAACCACTCATGACGAGACCGTCCGTGGGTACCGTTGAATGCGGAAGAACCTTGAACTTGTCGCCGTACTGAAGAAGGCGTGCATCAATTTCGACATCTTTGCCGTCCTCCACAGTAACGGCAGAAGAAGCCTGGAGGGAGCGAAGGGAAACGGCGGCGACAGCACGAATGCGAGCATAAGCGGCGACGAGGCGACCAAGCAAGACAAGGGTGATTAGCAGAGTGCTGGTTTCGAAAAACTCCTTGACATCTGCCTTTGGGTTCGCCTGGCGCAAACCGAAGCCAACAACGGAGTAGACGTAGGCAGCAGTGATGCTGATGACAACCAACATGTCCATCTCAATGGTCCGGCTATGAATGAGGGCTGAGATGGCGGGCTTGTAGAATTCTGGCACAGCAATAAGCTGCACGAGTGTCGCAAGCACAAGGGAAGTGATTGAACGCGCTTGTTTGCTGACTTGCTCTTTCAGTGAATCTTCACCAAACGCAAAGACTGCGACAGGTATGGTGAGGATGGCAGCCGCAGCTGTCTTGATCAACTGATCGTACATTCTCTTTCTTCCGCTTGCGACAGATGGGTCATCGCGGGGAGGAGCCAGTCCGTTGGACAGAGGGCCAATCTTTTCAAAAAGAGTTCGCGCGCCGATCAACGCTGGGTCGTAGGTGACTCTGACCATCTTCTTGTCAATGATATTGACGTCGTTAACCCCGAGGATTGCGAGGTCGGCGAGTGCCTTCGCAGCTCCACCTGACGCGAGAATATCGAGCGCCTGGTCATCGCTAGACATTCGGGTACAGTGGAAGCCCGTGGCTCGCTCTGCGCTGCGTATGACATCTTCTGCCTTGCCAATGGAGCTATCAAAGTCGAACTCTGCATTCCCCATAACAAAGTTGACGCGGACGCCAGACACGCCAGGGGCGGCTTTGAGAGTCCGTTCAAGCTTGTTGCCACATCCAGAACAGGTCATGCCGTCGACGATGAGAGCGACGTGCTCCAATCCGGCACCTTTCTCGACATCAGCGCCATCGTATTGATGATGCTGCTCCTTGTTGGCAGAGGGGAGGTGGACATCGTGCCCGCTGCAGCAGTCGGACTGGTCGTCGCGGACAGGCTTAATTTCCATGTCATGATCGTGCGCAAGCTTCTTGCCACGTCTCTTAATTCCGTGGTGGTGATGATGCTTGTGCTGGCCGTGAGCATGGGCGGTCGTATGGGCTTCGGTCTTCTCGCGGCGCTTCTTAACGGAGGTGGCAGCCGAGACGGGAGCGGCAGCGGCAGCGGCAGCGACAGTTTGCTGCTCGCTGCAGCAAGTGGTCGGCAGACCGCGATCGAGAATGCTGCGGCAGATGCAACGAGCCGACTCGAGATAGGCGCTGTACTGCTCAAAGGCCTTGGAAAGATGAGTGCTGCAAGCCGAGCCCTGGTGATGGCCATCTTTGTCGTGAGCATGCTTATGGTCGGCAGCGGCTACATTGAGAGCGACATGAGTCTTGAGACAAACACTAGTCATGAGGTGTAACACGTACCGTCGTGGGCAGCGTCGTCGTCACAGGCCTTCTCGCATTCGACGGCAGCAGCGGCAAGGATACACTTCTCTGTGTAACCGAGTTAGGAGAGGACATGTCGAACCGGCACAGAGTGTATACCGTCGCAGTGCTCTTCCTTTGAAGTGCAGCATTCGAGTTTCACGGAACGACAAGTCGAGTCGTCCTCGGCTTCGCAGTAGGTTTCGGCGTCGCAATCCTCGTCGACGCAAGCGACTTCCTCGGCACCACCACAGTCTGCGCCGTCGGAGCAGCAAGGATCGATTTCCTGGCTGTGGGCATACGCACGTCCATGGTCATGGCCGTGTTGAACCTCAGTCGAAGGACCGCTGCATCCCTGACCCTTGGCAGGGCCATCCGAGCAGCACCCGGTCCCCATCGTCGGAGTGTTTGTCGGATAAATTTATCAATATTTATGTCGGAAAGCTGGGAGGTTTGCGGAAGGAAAGATGAAGTGTTGTTTGAGGGGAAAAGGCTTCTTCCCTAACGTTGTCCCAAGGCTGGAATATATGGTGTTGATATAAGGTGGATTGGTCTGGACGTTGAGGTGATGAAAGCGGAGGCGTTCAAGGTCCAATGGGGGGTTTACCAGGGTTGCATGCAAGAGGAAGGCGTAGGGGCACCTTCGGTTCTGGGGTTTCCGGATCGAACGACGATCCCCTGCCAGTATCTGGCCAGAATCTACGACGCTGATTCGCCTGCGCCATCTCTACACAGGTTCGCTGCTCGGTATTTGATGCGCCATGCCTTCCATCCATTACTCAGGCCACTGCGTGTAAATCGCCGTTGCAAGCCACAGACCTTCGACTGTATCTTGTCTCGGTCTTCCCACGCCTTCTAGAACGCTGCCGCAAAAGTCACAGTTCTGTTGATCTGGCATTTTTTGGATGGCGCGCGTCACAATACGAAATGTCAAACTCTGAACGATGGGGAAGACCAAATTGCCGGGCTTTGACGAAGTTCAGATGAAGCTTCATTTAAGCGAGTGGAGAGTTGCCAAATGGCTGGCCTCTTTGTCATTGATAACTGCCGTCGGACCCGCCCCGACCGAACATTCGAGACTCGGATCGGAAATGTTAGTCAGACGGTTGAACAGAGGCGTCCATTGTTTGATCTTCCCTCCGAGATCTTTTTCCGTTTCAGTCGGAGCCTTGCTCGGAGAAAACAACCGTCACTCTAAGACACGTCAGAGTCCGATGCAACATGACCGCGAGACACATGGACACCGAGACACAACAAACAAACAAGTTGACGTGGACACGTTTCTTCATTCACTCCCTTCTCAGTATCCTTGGCCATCCCGGGCGCCACTATGATTAAGTATCCGGAAAAAACAATAGGTAACCGCCCCGGTCCTCTATCCCCATGGTATGATTTTACAATATGGATGGTATCATCGTCACCCTCCCCCAGAGCAAACATTTGGTATCATGTGAGACAAAAAGAATACAGTAAAACCGCTCTCATCAAAACGCCACACCTACGCTGCCCCGTGGAGGGGCAATCGTGTCTTTTTCCTTTCCAAAGGTGGTTACGCGCTCCAGCGGCGGGTGCTCCTCCGCTCTGGTGGCGGGGGTGCTGCCGGGCGACCACGTCGTCGGGACCGTTTGGCCTCCGTCTTCCGACTCCCACGTCGACACAGTCGACGCCGTGTCAAAACTAGTGCGCCCGTCCCGCGGCGCATGGACACATTGGTAGAAGCCCTCGCGCCCCTTGACGGGGCGAGGAAGATTAGTGATGGAATCGTGACTGATGTTCCGATGGTGCTGCTCTGCGGCACCTCCAGGGAACAGCCAGCTGGACACGCGCGAGAAGGATTTCTTCTTGCGCAGCGGCGGGCGAAGAACGAGCGGCAGGGGCGGCGGCGGCGGTCGGGCCTCTCTGCCGCGGCTCGGGGGTGGTGTGATGAAGGCCGCTGAGGCATCGGCGAAGGCCATGCCGCGGTGGGGAATATGCATCGGCGGCCGGGGCGGCGCCGTGTGCGGGCGGTCGACCCCGGGGTTCAGGCGTTCTGCAAACGAGGGTGCAGCTGGTGGGAGCGCGGGGACCGTGGGTATGGGATCCATGTCTAATTTGGTCAGCGCCGTGAGACTTGCTAAATTTGGGCCATGGACCGGGCTTACCGTGCGTTGTCAGTGCCATCGAATGAGCTGTCGAAGGTCGACTGCCAACGTAAATGCTCTGACGCTCCATGACTAAGTCGATCTCCCGCTGAAGTTTGTCGACCTCCAGCATGGCACCCGCAATGCGTTCCTTCATCCGTTCCACACTGGATGACGTTTGCGACCGAGCTCTCGACTTGGGCGGGATTTTCGGCGGGGTGTCGCCCGGAGACATCGTCAATGTTGATGGCGACATTGACATCTTCCGCGGCAGGTGGAATGACATGGAGGAGTAGCTCGGCTCATGCGAAGGCCCAAAGACGTCGTCGTCGGGGTTTGGCTGAACACGGGCAGGTGGTGGCGGGGTGAGCATCTCGAAGTGAGGCAGGATGGGCGACAGCTCCCTTTTCGGCACGTAGATGCTCAACTCCAGCGGCCTGAAGGACGCCGGACGAGTCCGAGATAGACGTTTTGGCCGTGGCGGCATTGTGTGGCCAACAGTTTGAAGAGTCGTGTACTGAGGAAACTGGAAAGACTCGGAGTGCAGATGGCGGAAGTCGGTAGGTCCTGATATTTGTAGCCGGCGTGGTGAAGAGGAGTCTGAGCGAAATCGCTTTCTCACAGAGAACCGCTCCCGGAGCGATGCAAAACCTCTCTTGACTCCCTTCGACTTCACCGGCTGAGAGCGAGGTCCGGCAGGCTTCTGCATCGTACCTGCGAAAGGCGGCGGCATGGGCACGGGCTGGTCGCGGGTCACGGTGGACGGCAGTTTCTCAGAAATGTCAAAGGTGTCTATGCGGGTTGGTTAGTGTCCGGTAGGTATATGTATGATGTTTTCCTGCGCCGGACTTCGCCGGGGCTGTGGACTCACTTTGACGCGGCTTTTCGTCCGGGCAGGTTGATAACGGTGTACAACAATGAGTGAGGGGCGACAGCCATGTCGTATAAACGTCTGCAAGCATGCCACTCAAACCCTTCATACCTGCTTCGCAAGATGCTTCATGCCGAAAACGCTGGGAACATTGGGTAAAAACACAAAATAACGAAAGACGGCCAGCGATTTGACAGAAACAGAAAAGGGAAGATGCAGAGAGGGCGGCAGGAAACAAAGATCCAAGTGATCCGATTGAGTTATAATAGAGAATGCAGCGGCGGGAGGCAAGACGGCAGGCAACCTGCAAGATGAGAAGAGAAGAGCCCACTCACACACGTACACACCACCACACGACTTAGACATACCCGGCAAGCACTTGGGCCCGACCAAGCTCACCCGCGTTCGTTCCCTGGCTAATTTGTGTGTCCCAAATGCCCACCTCCAGCCAGAGGTTTTGCTCTTTTGCTTTGCTTCATAGGCCCAGCTGAGAGGAACATGGGAGGGACAAGGGCCTGGGCAATTGTCGGCGAGGTGTGCAGTTGAGATGCAGACGGGCCGCTCTGATAGGCCGGGGTTGCAGACGGGGCCAGACGCGGCCGGCCAACAGGCGCTTAGGAAGCTGGGGGTCTGTCGGATTCGGATGGCTGGCGCTACACCACCATCCTGCACCAGATTGCAGGACTCCACCACTCGTGTAAGATGAAGACGATGGCTCAGCGAGTCGATGTCTCACCTCTGCCTTGCTCTGGTTACCCGGAGGCAGCTTGACCAGCAGCAGCTTGCCACAAGTGCCCCTCCGAAGGAGGGTCTCGTGCCCATCAACGAACCGTCATCCAGCTTGATGCCAGTCACCGTCACCGCCCCTTGTCATTCCCACCGATTCTGGGCTGGGCCCCACGAACCCTTCTCTGTCGAAAAATACTGACAAACAGGGCCACGGCTGAATGGTATTTTGAAACCGCGCAGCGAGCGTGTTGTTTCCAGTCGGGCGAAATGAAGCGGCCTAATCTGACGGGCCAATCACTGCGGCGCAGCCCATCTGGCCGCCCAAACGGCACGGCAATCCCAGTAATTCGGTGACATGTTCCAACGTGAGCGGACGGCAGACGAATGAAAAATTTCCATCAAAGCATGCAAGGCACCGCGGGTAGCACGGGCGAGGGAACGCGGGAAGCCTATCTGGCGGACTGGGGGGATGCGCTGTGCCATCATAACACCCATCGCAGACCAGCGCGTCTCCTATTGCAGGAGAGCATCGCCGTTGAAGGGTCGCACACACGGGGAGGGCGATGCCGACAGATGGAAGCTTATGATGGCGACAGGTCGCGATCGTTGTGGGGAGCAGAGGCTGGGCTGGCAGACTGCGGGCGGGTAGTGTGTTCTGCAGCGCTCCGCTCTGGCCTGCATTTGCCTCCGTCTCCTGTTTTTCCTTCCTTCCTTCTTTCCTTGGTTCTAATAATAATCCCCTCACGGAATCGGAATGAGCGTCACTTGATTCCCGCGGCGATATTTCTGCCCGTAGTGGTTGCAACCGTCGGGTTGGTTGAAGAGAAACATGTCGCCGGGCTGGCGATGACTCGAGTCAAGTAGGATGAATTGCCGGGAATCGTTGCTTAAAAGCGTGGCGGAGTCCTTCGTCATCGTCTCTTGTGAAGAAAACCGGTGGACGAGAAGCTTCCGCAGGCCTTCTCGTGTTACTCTAGCGCAAACAAAATGTCTCGGGCAAACCGCCACAGTGTGGAGGGACATCAGCAGCTCCAGCAGCTCCAGCAGCAGCAGCAAGCAGGAGGGGCTTGGATCTGAGGAATTCCATCTTATGTAAGGCATCACTTGGAGAACCCCTCCATTCTCCACTTGTTCGTGATTATCTAAGGAAAGTACACCCAGCTTACCTAAGGCATCTGCCATCGTTGTTCGACGAGAACCTGAATTCGCTACCCGGCCGGAAACTTTTAGCCACCTGGCGAACCAAATTAGAAAAACAAGTCCAATAAGAATGATGCCTGGTCATAACAAGGACAGCAAGAACAATAGCGGCGATAAGAAGGACGACGGACGACGAAGAGCGACGATGGAGACGAAAAGCGACGATGGAGACGAAAAGCGACGATGGAGACGAAAAGCGACGATGGAGACGAAAAGCGACGATGGAGACGAAGGACGACGGAGACGGAGGCCGGAGACGAATGACGACAGCGACGACGGAGACGACGATAAGGACGATAAAGACGATAGGGCCGGTTTGTGTGTGGTCTGAGCACCCGCACCATCCATGTTGGCGCTCGCAGGGCTTATCGATAACGGTTCCCGGAGAAAGAGAGAGCCGAACCGTTATGGACGCGGGCGGACGGGACTGGAGTGTGGACCTTTACCCTGCACGGATTTTTTGGGCGAAGTGAACAC